CGGCTACAGTTTTCCCTAACAGAAAGAAAAATTTCACGCACACTCTGTTCCTTCTGGTCGGCCATCTCACTAATTGCCAAAGGGTTGAAACAGGAACGCACACAACAGAGCATCACAGACAAACCACTTAACTCATACTGACGCCAGCTCACTAACAGTCGCGGGAGACCCCCAGCTAACACCACCTAGCAGCACAACTCGTAACTACAAAGCATGCGCGTGCAACAGGTCGGTTCCAGTTATTTTTGGGTCCCCCTTCGTATGCAAGAATAGTTACTATTGGAAATTGGATGTTTTCTGTGTAGTCCACGTCAAGATATTACAAGCAAAGGACAAAGTTGCCAGTTGATAGTCAGTTCTGCATGACAGCAAGTCTCAAATATTTGAACTTCTCAAAGATGTACAAAAACTCAGGAATTATTCCATTACTTATTAAGGTAGCCATATGAATTAAATGAATCAATTAAACATTTATACATTCTCTCTCTTTATTTCCAAATTTTGAGTCTGATCATGCAACGCAACATGGAATACAAATAATGCTAACGAATACTACCTTACAACTCAACTGACTCACCAGCACTGTTCTTTCCTGACTTTAATTATGACACAAAATACAAATTCTTAGTGTAAATGCACCTGTCAAATGGCAGTGAAATGAGAACATACTGAAGAAAAATTACTACAAGTAGAAGTCTGATATAATGAGAATTCATAATGTCATGAAAAACTGACACTAATCAAATACTTTTCAGAGGAAGTTTAGAACATGGAAATATGGAAATGTATAAACTGATCAGAAATTAAACTAGTGTCTGTGGTTATCTCAATGTAACCAGTGAAAAAGCTGGAGTTTTTATAATTATTCTGAAACAGATAAATTGTGCAAACAAGTGATGAATTAGAAGTCAACAGAGGAAAGAAAAAAAAATCATGCAAATTTAAGAACAGTGCTTATTCTCACTTGTAATAATATGAACACAATAATGGCTGTCATTTGTACTGTACTGAGTATTGAAGAAACACGGTGACTCTGTGAGCTAGTGCTGAATTGTGTTGTATTTATGAATGAACCCAGTATCTCCACTTGTGGTGTTTCTCCACAGGAGCACTGTTTCTTCATAATTTTTGTTAACAAAAATAACACCAAACCTACATAGGTACATCTTACTTTATAACCAGGTCTGCATACATCAGGAGGCAACTACTGTGGATTCAATATTATTCCCGAAAGAAATAAGGTGGCACACAGTTGGTGTGCTTCTGCTTTGCAAATGGAAGTAATTAGAGATTGGCAGGCACAAATTAAAAGTGATGAATGTCTGCAAGTCCCTATTTATATGAAGATGTTTCATGTGATATAAGGCACACATTAAGAGTAGCATCAATGGCCTGACCATTTACATCTTTAAAAGCATATGAAGAAATTGGTTGATTTGATCACGGTCATATTTTTCTTTAGCTGAGACACTGAGCACCTTTCATGGAGATTCTGTTCAAAGTAGTTCCTTTTGATACTTTACAGTTAATTTGGCTTTGTTTATACAGAATTAGTTCAGTCTACCCATGACTCAAGTTTCATTCACTGAAACTCATTCTGTGCCAACTCTGATGCCTGTCCAGAACCAGGGTCAAAACGAAAGTATGGAGCAAAATTATTGGGGTCAGGGGTAACTTTCAACCCACAGAGTATAATTTCTTCCTACGCTTGAAACAGCAACACACAAAGCCAGCAGCAAACTGACCTACTTCACCTGTTGCTGCGCATTCAAACCTAGTAAAATCACCCATGTATGTGACTCCACTGAAAGGAATGGAATACTGTTTCTGAATCTATTAGGGGATAGAACAATCAATTCCACAAGGTGGTGAATGGTACGTCCACATCAGACCATTAATTTCTGTGAAGACAAGTCAAAATTATTTGAATGTTTTATTTTTGTCTGATACACTGAGTTACTCTCCCATGCATAGACTGAGAGGCCTCCATCCATGCTATGATTAGACACATACTGCAATGATGTCAGTGGTGCATATTCAACTTATGAAGATCAGAAATTAACAGCCGAACCAAGTCGTCAAAACATATCTTTACATAAATCTTGAAAGGAGAGAAAATGATCTGTTACAGTTGAAATTACGGAACAGTATTCTCATTAACCCAACAGCTTCAGCTCAGGAAACATTCCCATATGTCTGGATGGAACATTATTTCAGTCTTTCTTGAGATGAAGGCGATGCCTGGTTTGAAGTCATATCATAGACTGCCTCAGTAACCTACTTCTGCATTAGTAATATCTGTGGTGGGAGTGAAATATTTTTTCACTAAGCACTGATTTTTCCAGAAATGAACCCAGCCCCAGCATGTTTTGATGTACCCAAAATCCTCAGCCCTAATGGCTTAAAATATTGCATGCTTATTATGATTAAACTGGTGGTGCATAAAGAAATGTTCATTAAACAGACTTCTCAAAGCAGGTTGTATTCATTACATCAGACTTCTACTGAAGTTATATCAATTATCTTGTCACATAACCTTGTGAAATGGAAGTTTCAGGTCAGCTGATAACGAGCATAAACAAGACACATTTTCTTTCAAAGAAACCCATCATACACATACAGATACACGTGGGACCTCAAACTCAAATCTTTCTGCCTTAACATAAAAAATCTGCAGTACCCACAGCAAAAGACCCAGGCCCTAGGGTAATTTTGGTCTTAACAGTATAACGAAAAAACTGCCTCCCCACTTCAGAGCAGCATAGGTGTTTTACATCACTGGGGAGGGTGCATTCAAGGAGGGAAATTTAGAACATTTTGAATTAATCATACTGTGGACTGCTGCAAAAGTCTAGTGCTTTAGGTCAAACTTCTGACAGTATTTACAAGTGGTACAAAACTTTCACAATACACTTGTATATCTGGAAAGTTGTCCCTGTGCCAAGTACCACACCATGAAGTATTTCAAAGCTCCATGAATTTTTAAAACTGGCAGTAGATAAAGTGGTCAGCTTCTTACTCAGTCAATTTACCTCCTGAAACAGAGGCCCCATGAACCAGTGAACATGAGGCTGGGTTGGGTTTACTGCCAGTCTGGATATGACAGTAAGAAGAAAATCTCTTCCCTCTATCAGGAATTATGCCTGGGTTGTTCAGCCTGCAGCCACTCAGCTTACTGAAACATCTTCGCTTTCTAGCCACAGAGTAGCATAAAAAAATAAAGCAGACTACTTTGACCAAAAACCTCAACAAAATGTGTAAAGTGAATGAATTCTCTTTTCACTAAATATACATCTTTTACAACTCGGGTAGCATTCATTTCAGAGAAAACCTAAAGCTGCAAAAAACTCTAATACCTTATCTACAACTAAGTTACAGCCACTGAACTTCAATAGCAGATCTATGGACAGTATATCAAATTCACAATCATACACTAAATACATTAGACAGAGCAAGCATAGAGGATATATAAAGATACGTAAAACTTTAGAATCACACTGGTCAGTCATGAGCTCACAATGCTTGAGATTAAATATAAATTACAACAGGACTTATAACATTATGAACAATGTGTCATTCATGTTCAAATTATGTCTGGTATTTTCATCTTGCTTGTTTTCCTTTTATTTATGCCTGGTGTTTTCATCTCGCCTGTTTTACATTTTACTTTACATGACATTAATACTATCAGTGGGCAGATATCCTATAATGGCATATGCAAGAGATTGTAACAGGCACAACAAAACATTATACCAAACGTATTTCCATAAAGTGTCCACAGTATGATGTAAACTCCGATTCCCTTTCTGCAGCAGATAAAACATTCTTTCCCGTTATCACTTCATATCCATTTACAACGATGATGATTTACAAGACGAAACACATTTTATTCACTTTACCCTAAATCAACTTGCACTGCATCACGAAAATACCTTCACCTTGCACATCATCTGCTGGAAGTTATATTAACATTTAAATTTTTGTTTTCATGGGAATTAGGCACAAACGTATGCAATATCTAAAATGTTTCAGTATGACACAAACGACTCCAAACAGAACAATCCCTTATGTTATTATAGTACTAGCTATGTGCGTATCATTGGTTCCCTTGTACTGAACATCTATATAAACTGTGTAAAAGACAAACTGAGTTAAGTGTTGAGGGGATATTTCATTACATGCAGCACTCCAGCTTCCTCACTAGTACAGCACCAACTTACATCAAATGCAAAATTAAAATCTTTTAAACATCTATCACGTCATATATTCACACATTCCCTTACATGTATACATTTGTATCAACATAAATCTAATACCAACATGTCAATACACTAAAAAACTTGTGATGGTAATATAAACACTTAAAAACTAGGTAAAGATTCCTGCAGTAAGGTGGCAGTAACAAGCAGCACAAGTCCAGTTGCAATTCTGTGCCACCTACTGTGACTTACACTATTTTCAAAAGCAAATGGAAACTCTTCATTCAGAAGCACTGGTGGATATATTTTCAATCTCTCCTTTATTTTGCTCAGATAATGGCCCAGCCTTTTCCTCTAGTAAAGGAACTATGTTTCCTGCTAAAGATGTATCTGTACTTTCTACAAGAGTACTTGCAAGCTTGTCCCCTGACAATGGGGGCACTTCATTATTAACAGGGGAGATGGCAGCTCTCTCATCCGTGTATGCTGCTTCAGTTTCACTGACTGACGATCTTATTTCTCTGTCACCAGCCTGCTCACTCTCCTGACAAAGTTCACTGGAGTCTCTGACGATGTCAGATGATTCATTCTCATTGCACGAGGGCGAAGCTACACTTTCTTCGGTATCATCGGGGGGATGTAAACATTTGATCTCACTACCTTCCACAGGAGATGGAATCCTGGCCTCTGCTTCCTGAGAGGACAATCTGCTGTCTGCTGCTGCACTCGATTGGGATGATGGTCTGTTGTCCCCCACCTCAGATGCCTGACAGTTCTCTTCTGTCTCTACTGGAGATGTCCTGTCACCTAGTGAAGTCTCATCTATAGGGGCATTTTCATCTGGTGAAGTCTCCTCTTCAGGGACATTATCATCTGGTGAAGTCTCATCTGCAGGAACAATGTCACTTGATGAGTGCTCCCCTGCAGGGGCCATGTCATCTGGTAAATTCTCCTCTGCAGGGACAATGTCACCTGATGAAATCTCCCCTACAGGGGCCACATCACCTGGTGACGTTTCCTCTGCAGGGCCTATGTCACCTGAAATCTCCTCTGCAGTCGCACTGTCATCCAGTACCATCTGCTCTGCAGGTTCCTTGTCGTCTGGTAATGCCTCTTCAGTAGTACTGTCATCTATGTTTGCCAGAGCTACTGGCTGATCATTGCCAGCTTCTGCTTCATCTACTTCCATCTTTTCCTCTCCTTCTGCAACTTTCTCTCCATTTTTACCTAAAAACAAAGGGTACAATTATTTCAAACAAAGCACATATGTCTGTGAACACATGCATGTAAGTGCACCACTGCCCCAAATCAATGGAGTTCCTATATTCTTGAATCAGGCCACAAGACAGGACATGTCATACTGTACGTAGACAAACTTATGGAAGAAATGTCCTGCATACTGAACAAGGTATCCTGTAGCACAGTCATAGGGGCCACTATTTATAGGTTGCATAATCTAATGCCACCTTTCAAGAAATCTTGAACATATTTATATCTGCATATAATGTTGTCATATGCTGCCTTATGACAAAGAAATTCCCCAAAAGCACATCTATAATAAAGTTAGCACAGAAGAAAGAACAGAGTGTATGCTATATCTGTTAATTTGTCATAAATATAACACACTTTCTTTCTCCTGTTATTGTGACATCAGCAGAATAATTGTCTGTGAGCATCTCAGCGGGCAGACATTCTTTGGAAAGATGAAAAGTTTTTAGCTGCTAGAAAACAGTTCCTACATTGAAGTAAATTTATATGCGTTATGCTCTCTTTTTAAAAGGCATTTTAATAAATTTCTACTGTTAAGCATAAAATCTTAAGTTTCAGTATTTACCAAATATTAAAACACCACAATAACAAAATTTTCTAAGAACGTTTCACATTTATAGCTGGTCATTTGTGTTAAGTAGAGATTAGCATGAAATACCTGTCATGTCAAAAAGACATTCTATAAGAAAAACTCCGTTCATGAAGGCAATGAAAGATGTTCATTCTTTCTTACAATTTAAAAATCAATAATAATCATTGACTTTACTGCATACAGCAATACTGGGATGTCCATGTGCAGTTTTAAAAACTGGCAAATCAATAGTGAGGGCCACACTGAACAACTGTAATTCATAAGATAAAAAAAAACTGTTTTCTCAGCAGGCACTGTTATAATAAATAATCAAAATTTAAATAAGAAATATAATTTGGAAGAAGTTTTCTTATATTATAGTACCTATTAAAACAATACTATGTTGAATTCGCTCCTGGGTCTTTGCACAACGTAGCTCTGGCCGATGTTGCTAACATTTCGGAGATACATGCTGCCTCCACCTTCAGAGGTGACCCACTAACACTGTCCACATTCATACAGTACAAAGTCCAAGGGCAGAGTCAACCTCAGTAACGAACTAATGAAAAATGTTAAAACCAGTAACATACTATAATACGTAATATATTTGCACAGCTGAATCGGTGACTGCGAAGAGCATTATGGCAGACATCAGGGATACTGACATAAATTTCCATGGTGGAAAAGAAACTCTGGGGCTTGTTACACAAGATTCTCTTCAATTTTAGGAAATCTGACAACAGATGAGTGTTCATGAAATTTATGACCGAACTATTAGCTGTATATGCATTGCCCTGTTGAGATGTCAGTGTGTTTTCTGAAGTGAGAATAATAAATCAGGCAATATAGTTAATAATTATGTTGAATGTAGTGTCCTGGATTCTTATTAATTTACAGGCAACAAGTTTTCGAGCGGCCCCACTACAATGTTTGCAGTCATATTATGTTTCTCATTATGTACTTCAAAAGTATCAATTTAGAGATTTTGCACTGGGTAGTATCCCTGGATGGAACTTATACAAAGACATGGAGTGATGGCACTAATCAGTCCACTAGGAAGAGGAAAAGAGCAACCATCACTGGCATATGCCGAAAATAGAACCCAGCAACTTTCTAGTGATGTAATGGAGTACATCAATGATGAAGAGACAACCTGGTTTCTGGAGCAGTACAAGAATAGCAGAATTCTAATATTTTATCGAGTGTTATGGCTAAGTGCTTGTAACTCCTGTTTCATACTGGGTGGATCTTAAATCTGAATCTTAACCTGGAGACAGGCTATCATGTCACCTGGTAATGTCTCTTCTGTAAAACTTACAAAAATAAATACTTCATGTTGTGCACACTTCTGCATACAGAATGTGGTTTTTGAGGACTGTTTACAAAACATAACTTAAGACTTTGAACAAGCAGCACTCACTTGTCCCTGGTGAAGGAACCTCACTGTTTTCTTGATCTGGTAGTTCTGAGCTTGCTGCCAGCTGTGGTTGCTCTGCTTTGCCCTCGGGCAGTCCTTCACTGTCAGATGGGGCACGATCAAGACTCGATTCGTCTGTTGAAGGTTTGCGTACTAGACCCAGTATGTTAAGCATACTTGGGGGGTCTCCACCCTCTACAATAAACAATAAGATACATAAATCACTTGGTACTTAACATAATCATATTTGATTATGTAACAAATTTCTTCCACTCACCGGGCTGAGGAGCTTGCTTTTTGTCTGGTGCATCCTTACTGCCCTCCCCAGGCTCCTCCTTGCGACTTGGAACAAAGGCCTTGAGCCAGCGATCACTGGGATCTTCACTAGCATTGTCAGCATCGTCTAATGTGACCAGTGGTGGGAAGGAAGCTGACTGGATGGTTGCAGCCTTTGCTTTGGCTGGAGAGGGGTACGCACTCTTTCGCTCACACTTTGCCAAATGATTTGCTGCAAGAATAACACTGTACACTGTAAATGTCTGCCTAATACCATAGAATGTTCAGACAGAAACTACCAATTTCATAGTATGACAGGAATTACAGTACCCACAACATAATCCTTCAGAGATACATGAATAAACATGGACAGATTGAAAACGTTTATTTTATGAAACTGAATACAAACACGTGACAAGAAAATTCAAATTAACTTGTTAAAAAAATTTAATTTTCTAATAAGCAGAATAATTATTTATTCTTATATATAAAAGGCAAAGGCTTGCCCTTCTGTGATGAAAATAAGTCAGAAAATATCCACAATGTATTAAAATTAACATGATTGTGAAATGCAACTCACAAATGCATCACTTTCCAATATGGTCCCCGTTTTTAAATACCATTGGTTCAACAAGGCACAAGTATATTTATACAGGGAAAAACTGTTTTTGGCTATGTGGCAAGCCATGTACAGTCAACTCTCGATTATCCGGGCTAATGGTGGGGATGGNTCATATGCACAGCCTTCTTCAATTCACTGTCACTGTCAAACTGATAGCCATTAACACAATTGTAAATGGCCATTACTAGGTTATGGTTCCTTAGTGATCATGTGGCTGCCCCAACAGACATGAATGCAACAGAAAAAGGTGTTTTCTACAAGGCCTGTGCCGGGGCTACATAAAACAGACGAGTTGGGAAGCAAGACAGGCAGTCTAGAGACAGACAGACAGACAGACAGCCAACCAGTCAGCCAGCCAGCCAGCCAGCCTGTCAAGAGTGGGTCTGCAGACAGTCAGCTGACAGTTGCAGAAGCTGGGGACAGTTCAAGAACCCAGAGGAAGGTGAACATCCACCACTGGAAGCCACTACCACACAAAGCAGTGAAGACCGTGACTGAGAACCTTAGTCTTTGTGTGACTGTGAACTGTAAAGTGTAGTCACATATTGTATCAAAGTGTGCAATAAATCAAGACATCAAACCCAGACCCATCTATAGTCACACTCCATCCTGTAACAATACATTACTTCTGAACCAGCTGTGGAAGTCCAGTGCTCTGAAAATATTACCACAATAAAACTTACCTAGCCTATTGCCGCTAGAAGTTTTGTACCCACACACACAGAACATTTCTGCTGGAAGCTGCACTATTTGCCCTAGTGTAAACTCAGGCGTGCTTTTACCCGATTCATGGAACACCACAATATGCTCCATCATGGCTTTGCTGCAGCATGTTGCAAAACGACACCTTGAGCACGTTAAGTAGCCTCTGTGAACCACAAACATCAATCATCTTACCTTCCTGAAAATGACAGTTTGCTACATCACATTTATGTAAGGCAGTCAAAAAGTTCCTGGAATTCCCTAGCAGATGGAGAACAAGCGATAGGACAGCACACACACTGTTGTGGTGGGAAGCTCAGCATGTCTGCTTGCACACGCAACAGGTCTGGACAGGTTTCAGTGTGCAGTGTCATTACTCTTCCGTTTGAATTAGACGTGAGTGTTGGTCATTCGGCACAATGTTGCAATTTGAACAGTGTGTGAACATCAGGTTCATCTGCACACTGGGAATATCTGCTTCAGAGACGCTATCGGCCCTGCAGCAAGTTTACAGTGACACTGCACTAAAGAAATCCGCAGTTTACAACTGGTTTTTCCGGCTTAAGAATGGACAGGAGACGTTAAATGACCAGTGCACCGGGAGACCTTCAACATCCAGAACCGAAGAAATGATTGGAAAAGTGTGACAACTGATTCTATGTGATCGAAGAATGACAATCACGGAGTTGGAGCAAGACAGTTCTGTTACTGGCCATTTCTACGTGCAAGTTTTGCAGAGGTTGTGCAGTGTGGTTCGAGGGAAGCAGCACAAGTGGCAGGGACAGTGGTTTCTGCATCACGATAACGCACTGTGCCACACATCGCTCGTTGTGCAGCAATTCCTCGCTGAGAAAAACATTCCTGTCATCACTCAACCACCGTACTATCCAATCTTGCTCCAAGTGACTTTTGGCTGTCCCTACTCCAAAAATGAGCCTCCAGGAGACACATTTCACAACCATGGAGGACATCAAATCAAATGCGACGGCTGAGCTCCGGAAGAGTCCAAAAGAAGCCTTCCACCACTGCTTCCAACAATGGCAGGATCGATAGAGCAAATGAGTGTGTGCACACAAGGGTCCTACTTTGAAGGTGATTGGGTAAGCGCTGCCGTATGTCCTACCATTAAGAGTGCTATACCACCATTCCAGGAACTTTTTGACTGACACTCGTACATGCAACTACAAGAATACTTTTCGCTTTGAATGCTACCAAAAGTTTCAGCGTATGACATAGCCACACACTGAAAGCTAATGTTATCTATCAGCTGCACATAAGGAGTATTTTGGCCCTGCTGAAGCAAGGAACAGAAGTTTTCAAAACATCAGTGCATAAGCAACTGGCGAGGCACGATACATACGGGAAGTGATCTTCTCCAAGGAACTCTCCCTCACACTCACAACAAGTGGAGCCTGACGGCACACCATATATTGCCAGAGGTGGTTCAAACATTTTGTTGGCAAAATTTGATGATGATTTCATCCTGTCTGGCTGTTTCTTCTGTGTGAGTGGGCCTCGGGACAGTTGGGATGTTGGTGGCAATGGCATCATCACATCCACCCCTCTCGGGTTCACATACGGTTTCACTCCTGCAATAACCACAATGTGTAGATACCTATCCTTATTTTGCTTAACCCATGTAGCACATTTTAAGACGTGGATAAATCTAAATTTATATACATACAAGTATATCAGCAGAAAAGGTTATGCATAATTGTGTTTCCTCTCCATTTTAATAATATGCACATAAATATGTGAACATACTTACTAAAGGACAAAGCTCTAAGAAGCCTATGTTAACTAACTTCAAGGAGCAGAGCCCTTCTTGAGAAGCTGTCAGTTGTGCAACTACTCAAGAATTTCCCAATATTTTATGGAACCTGACAGTTCATTACCACGTTAACAAGAGCCCCCCACTGGTCCCTATCCTAAGCGAGATCAATCCAGTCCATACCACTCCATCCCATCTCTCTAAGATCCATTTTAATATTATCCGTCTATATCTTGGTCTGCCTAGTGGTCTCTTTCCTTCCGCCTTTCCACCATTATCCTATATTAAGCAGTATATGCTACAGAACATAATGTGTGATCCCACTGGGGTCCACACCAAGAACACCTATCACAGTCTAATCAGTCACCACATTGGTGAACTTAGCAGACATTCTTTATAAAATAATCTGGATGTATGATACCACATCAGTACACCACTGCCATGAAGTACCATTACAAATGTTCATACAAGGAATACGAATTACTACTGTGCAACTCGGTTACTCAGTTGCCAATCACCTTTCATGGAATATGACAGTCCATTAGATTTCATAAGACCATGCTAGTATATCCAATACTCAGCCAATTTTATCTAGTCCAGTTCACCAAGTGGTCTTTTTCGGCTTAAGGAATTCCAACTAAAACGCTATATGCTTTTATTGCCTCTTCCATGTATATTAAATGTTCCAGTCACATTCTTCTCCTTCATCTCATCACCCTAATAAAATTATGTGAAGAAAATACATTATGAAGCTTCATGTTATGTAATTTCATCTATCTTCCAATTGCTTCCTCTCCAGTAGGTTCAACTATTCTGCAGATCATTTCATTTTCAAAGATTCTCGGTGTTGTTCCTTATGGCAAGTGACCAATTTTAGGCCGATATAAAACAACTGATATTTCTTGACTTCTTATTCTGTACCAAGAAATTTGCATGCCTAGGTAGAAAGGCTAGAAATAAATGTACCTGGAACACCTTTGAAGCTGCTGTGGTCCTTAATCTGGTGCTCTTTGAGGATGCCCTTGTGGACAAACCACATGACACACTTATTGCATCTGCGAGCAATTGTCTTTCTCTGGTGTTTCTGTAATAAAAAAACAACTTCTGCATTAATTCACGCATGCACACACACACATGTGCGCGCCTCTAAATTATATAATTTTTACCGGGTTTCATGGTGCCTGGCCTGTGGGCTTCTAGGTAAATAGGGGTGTGCAGTACAATAAAAAAATGGCCTACAAAAGAGAATTTAAGTTTCAAACCAACAAACTGATGATAATTTCTGTGCAAACTTTGAAAGTAGCAATGTATTATATTGCCTGGCACATACTAATGTAAGGCTAGACCCACAGGTCTGAAAAAGCAAAGTGTCACATGTTTATATAAGAACAAGACAAGAGACAATATGCCCTTCATACAATTAAGAATTTTGTTAACAAAAGTTTTACCACATTAGAGCAAACCTCAATATTACACAGCACTCTGCATAGAAACCTGCTCTCATGAAGATGTGCAAGGATAGCAAGCCTACTGTAAAGCTAGCCCCCCCCCCCAAAAAAAAGGAAGAAAAGATCTGATAATTTCTGTAGCATTCGGTATGTGATATTCATCCTCAAAGAGAAGACATATGCATAGTGAATACTACACAACCAAGTTACATGGTCAGACTTCCAAATGCATATACATATTTCCCCACCTGAATATGATTAAGGAAGAAGTTAACATTGGCAGACATCTTCTTTCCTTGGCTGGCAAATGCAACAGTCTTCAGACAGAATGGGCACTGGAGCTTTTCACCTCCACCGTGCACCTCATAGAAATGGTCAATGAGATCTCTGTGCATCGATGAGCGGAACTTGCAGATCCCACACTCATATGGCAACTCAACTGCAATATGTGTACGGTGCATGTGTGAGATAAGCATAGGTCTGTCACGGAACTTCTCCTCACAGATACGGCACACCAAGTTTGTCGTCGCCTTCAGATGAATCTAAAACAAAAACATGGGGAATCTCAGTAGTGACACTACACAAAGGACTGTCCTTGCTTCTCATTTCAAACTTTCAGGTTAACCTGTATACAGAACAGTCACTTTTTGTCTATGAAGCAATGGTAACTATACTCTTGTCTGCTCTGACTCCTCATGTAGTTCACAAGATTATTAGAGCACCACCAAGTATCACAATCAGTCCTCAGGCCTCCAAGCAGACCTGTAGAATTTCTTGAAAGATGTGAAATTTGACATCAGAAATTATACAGTAAAGTTACAATAATGTGCACACAAACTAAAAACTGAAGTGGGATGAATGGAAATCCAGTTTGAAGGTGATAGCGCTTACCTCCTCAATGTGCGTCTGCATGGAGAATGGAGTGGGGAATGACTTGAGGCAGTATTTGCACTGCGTGAGATCACTGAGTTCCATCAAGAACTGGTTGTCTGACTGTGCATGCATGATGAGATGCTTCATTAACAAGATATTGTTCGAGTACTTCCGATTGCAGACACAGCACTGTAACCAAAACATACATGACAGAACAGGGGCAATATAGATGTGATCCATGAAACTTGCTTGTGTGAGAGATGATGCGGAACAATCCATAAGTCATACAAATCTACAGTTCAGATATCTATTTGATATGCAACTGAGTTCAGAAGAATCCAAGACCACTTTTCATAAAACAATGCAGGCATTTCTAACCCATACACATCATTAAACTCATCTATAATGATCATTAGAATACAAAAGCCTACTTGGTCTCATCTGGATGGAACACCACTGCTATCACTAATTTATAAAGGATATAATACTAGAAGTGTTAGACTGCGTGATTTTAATCCGCAGGCGAACTATACCGACTGCTGCTTGTCGGCGAAGTTTAGTGCCAACTTTTGCGGATAGAGGGTGCCGCGTGGTCAGCACAATGAATCCCCATGGCCATTAATTTCGGTTTTCTAGACCGGAGCCACTATTTCCTTGAAATAGCTCCTCAATTATCATAACGAGGCTGAGTTGACCCCGTTCCAGACCCACTACTTCTCAGAAAAAAATCTAGTAGCACCGGGAATCGAACCCAGACCCCTGGATCTATAGCCAGGAATGCTGACCACTAGACCACAGGGGCAGTCACTAAAAGTGTTAAACAAACAATAAAGTTATAATATGCCCACGAAAATATATTAACTGAACATTTTCCCCAGCTTTTTTGAACACACGCTTAAAAAAATAAGTTTTCTGGGGGGGGGGGCAGAATGGTTGGGAAAACATAAGAACCCCATATAAAATTATTTATTCACTATTTGGTAATATTCAAAAAGGTTTCAAGTCCCTGACATCATGCTTTAGCAATAAAAAAAAATTAACGTCCCAGAATGTTTAAAATCCAGCAGACATAATTATTGACAGAGTTCAAATCTATTTAGCACTACAGGTTAAACCACTCCTTCTGATCTTCCAGTCACACGGAGTACGTCCCAGAATGTTTAAAATCCAGCAGACATAATTATTGACAGAGTTCAAATCTATTTAGCACTACAGGTTAAACCACTCCTTCTGATCTTCCAGTCACACGGAGTACAGATCCTGGACCTCAAGTTGAACAAGCCACATACTATGTGATGAAGATCTGGCATATGGTTTAAACAGATTACAAGCAACAATGCTCTTCTACAAAAACACCAGCTGCAGCCATTTTACTAATATTTTTACCCATGTGTTTGGAATTTTCTGCCTACATTAATTATGGATGACACTGCAGTTTTCAAACCAACTAATGAATAAAAAGGGAGAAGAACAACAATATAGTTTTCTAAAGCAACAACAGTGTGAAACAAGAATTCTGTGCAGCTTTTGTTGATAAAATGCTGAATGCACAACCACCAATGAGACAAGTGGTCCATAAGCTCAATAAACAATTTTAAGAACCTGGTAGCATTGCTGATTTAAAAAAAAATATCAAGTTCTGTGATGACTTGAAAATTTACAATTTTTTACACAAGCAATTAATTCAATTAACACCTGCCTAAAGTACCGTGACACAACCTTCGGTATATGCTGTGTACATTATAACTAAACTCCTGCAGACCTATGTTATTATAAGCTTGAAATTAATATGATCCTGACACACAGATTGAAGCACAGAGATACTGGGTTTTCGGACTTTGTCCATTGTCTGGATTCTAAATAACCAAGTAAAAAACACAGCATTTCAGAAACTGGATCTGTTTCCATCCTCAGGTGAGGGAAGACACCTACTCTGTTGGGTCCCTTAGAAAGAGCTAGCCTCAATCACTGGACTTATTTAGAATCTGGACGATGGCAAAGCCCAAAAACCCAGTATCTCTGTGTTATACACCATTGTCAGAACCCTATAGTATATACAGATTGAAGTTCATGAACTGAATCTTACAATGTTTAAAAACAATGAAAGAGCAGAGTGACATAACTGCACATACTGCAGTGGCAAGACCCCACATCAAGTGATATGATGGTTGAGGCCTGGGCATGATGCAAGGCTCTCTATCTGCAGGCCTGTAAATTTTAATGATACTAGTATAGGAAAAAAATTACTTGCATCTCCTGCAGATATAAGCTGATGTTATAATTCAGGGCACACTAATCACCTTTTGACATTCGTAAAAAAAAAAAAAAGCCAGTGTGTGATTCAGGAAATCTGACTGGCACAATTTCCAATTTTTAAATAAACCAATTACTCATTGAATGATCCTATATTCATTTTTGGGGCAGTTGAATTCAGAGGTATTCAGAGCTGAAATGGGCAAGTTCAGTGTTTCAGTTTACTATATAAAACCACTCTACTGAATTTCATCTTACAATCCACACTTTCAATTTTAATCTGAGGTTCTATAAATTAACTGACATTAAAACAGTTCAGCAAGCACTGACCTAAAGAGATGAGCCCTGAACTATGTCTCTGCCTTTCTTACTTGGAATGAACACACAATGAATTTAAAATAACAGAAAATAAGCAACTCAGCCTCTGCCCCCCCTCCCACGCTGAAAGCTCAACACCAACACCAAATCCTACCAATAGGCATGAACCTGAATAAAGTCCCTCCACCTCCAAACCTTATATTCTAACTCCCTAATTTCCTTTTTAACCATTTTAATGTTTCCCTCTCACTTTTCTCCCAGTTGTCAAAGTGGATATTTACCACCAAAGTTCTGTATGAATTTATCTCTGGCACGGCTACATGTCCAATCCATCATTATTAGTTCAAGAAACAAAGTTTCCAATCATTGGAAATACTTCAAAATTACTGTAATTTCATTTACAGAAATATTTAACTTGTACAGATGTCAACCTACGAACTATGATAAATCCTTTAAAGTTGGCACCTCTGCTATTGGTCAATCCTTCCTGCGTCTCCTCACCTTAATGGTGAGTGAATTTTTGAATTCCTCCTTTATGATCTGTGCATCACCCTCCAGTGATCCATAGTAGTAAGAGTCCAGCGATACTTGCTCTTCAGGTACAACCGAAACAGGTGCAGGTGCTACTGCAGCTCTCTTAGGTTCTGGAGCATCCACCTGTGGCATGACCCGCTTGCGGCCACGCTTTCCAGTTTGTGTGGTAGGGGAGTCCACCATTCGGATGCTCTGCGGCAACATATCAATTGAACTGACTGGTCCTGGAGGAGGTGCTGGAGATGGCTGTAAGAACATAATACAGAATTTCATAAACAATTCTACTACAGGGACCTATGTAGGCCACCTTAATGGTTATATGACTTAGAGCAGGAAGAAGTCTGAAAGTGCCCCCAAAATATGGCACACCTAATCTGCTAACAATGTCCTGGAGCAACTACAACCTACTGTGCCACGTAATCTGCTAACCAAGTCTCAAAACAGCTACAAGATACTGACCTACTGTATCACGGCTATAAAACTTCTGACAGTCAGCAAATAATCACCATCCATATAAACCTTCTTGCAGAATGGTCATCTAAACTGGTTTTCAATAAATTCAGCTTCATTTTCTAAATAACTGGGCCAATGGGTCTAAACTATGTGTCTTGCCCTAACATCTACCAATCCTCTGCATGCCTTAACACTTCACAAATTTACAGCACCACCACCCCTCCCTTCCAGCTATAATTACTGTGGATCACATAAAAAGAAGGCAGCTAAAAAAATATGGTCTGCAAATAACTCAAAAGTCTTAGTCCACAATTGGTGGAATGAAGATTGGCAGGGGAAACCAAAGTACTCGGAGAAAACCTGCCCCAGCACCACTTTGTCCACCACAAATCCCACTTGACCAGACCCGGGATTGAACCCGGGCTGCCGCGGTGGGAAGCCAGCGACTAACAGCTTGAGCTATGGTGCGGCCTTTTGGACTGGTAAGTGGATATACTGGACTTTTACAGACCATAACTAAAATACAACAGCTCATGGATTTACACAGTATGCAGTTCACTATTGCAAGCACTAAGTCTTCTCTGTCTGCTGTGCCTTCATCAACCATTACTCGATAATGTACCCCAATAATGTAGATGCCTCAGCTTGTGTGTTCACATCCTTACTGGTTGACAACCATCTCATGGCTTCTCATATAGATAGCCTCAGCACAAACCCAGCAGAGAACATCATCTCCAACAGTTCCTCCACTGTTGCATGTGTATCTGTTGCAGTGGTCATGTGATTTGGTTGCAATGGAAATGTGTTTACACGGCCCCTATCTAGCTAACAGCTGGCTCTGCTGGCTTTACAACTTTGGCCTTGAGTGGACATGTCACAATATCTTGTACAAACAAAACATACAAATAGCAGAAAACTTAAGAAAACAGAACAATATAAGGTCAAACAGTAAATGGTCCATGTAACATATAATCTCTTATGAAGAAACAGAACTTACCTCCATAGATGCCGTGTGGCCTGGCTGCTTGCCCAGGAAGAAAGACCAAAAGAGTTTTAGAAAATATAACCCAGCTCATAAATCAAAGTAAACTTCCTGATTCATGGTCTCTGCAAGCAGTGCACATGAGGCCCAGGGGACAGGCTCATAAAGGGGGACAGTCGGTGGAAAGAAATGAGTACGGGGCACACCACCGTCAGTCTTGTAGGGAGGGGATAGTTACCAAGGCCAGTTCAAACATGAGCATTCCTTACACAGACCACATTACCACAGATAAGAAAAACAAATGTATCAATACAGATGCTTAAGTTACAGACGTGTTAGGATATTGTACTAGTAAAACAGTGCTAAGTCCTAAGTTCATTCAAAACAGTTTCCAGGTTAATCTTCATTGACCATAAGCTTCATTATTACAACAGCACATGAGCATGGTCCAGCTGGCTGCATCCTGCACTTTCTCAATACAAGAGATACACGAAAATGACACAAATAGAGCATCCCCAACAGTAATGTGGAAACTAGAATGCTGGTTTGTTAAGTCAATACAGTCCTGCCTCAAGTGAATGTAGATTTGTTCATGCCAAACATACCAATTTTATTCACAAATACACAAATTAAACACCGTGGACATACAAAACAAACACAGCACTGCAGCTGGAAAAACTAAGTAGAGATAGAAAATATTGGCTATTTAAAATCTGCAACTGCCAGAACAGAATTCATGGAAGGATGCTGTATTAATTAACCACTGGTTCTGTTATTGACCACTCAGCGCGGTTTGACGTGTATGTTTCGTCAAGGGACTTTAAGTCGTTCGTGGGGGTTCGACGTCTATGTATCGTCCAGATGCACACCTATGTTATAACGCCCATAATAATTGATGGTTTTGCTGTAGATTGTTAGATTTTTCGCTGGCCTGTTGTCAGAAGAACAATATATAATGAAACATGAGTTTAGCTGCGTTAAGTCATCGTTACATATGCCTGTCTTGCAGCAAAATCGTGTTGCTTCAAGAAGAGATTTTCTCATTCAAACTGTTATGAATGACGTGTTTTCTTTCCTATGAAGTTATAAACAGCAGAGTGATATGTGCTGTGTTTATAATATCATATTGCCCTGAGCGGGCCACACTAACACACTCAATTAGAATTCTTAGAAGAGGGGTGTCCAGAAATTTGTTCTTGCAAGATCGATTGATTTCGCACAGTACATAGCAGCCAGTTCTTAGAATAACGTCACAAATTAAGGCAGAACACTGTGGTCACCCCCTGAGATGATATGGGTGTGGGGGGGGGGAAGAACTCATTCCTTCATGTATTATCGCTCCAGTTGACTCCATTTTATCGTACTGACCTTGGTGGTTGTGTCGAGGGATGACCAGAAATATTTTTTTGCTACAAACTAAGCTCTGCTTTCGTGCACTACATACCAGCCAGTTCTTAGAATAACTTCATGAATTCCGTGGTCACCCCTATGACATCTGCTGCAGCCAAAATGGATGGAATAGGAAACGCATGGCACCAACCCCTTGTTATGATAACACAAAGGTTGAATTTACTGCAGCTGATCTGGCAAGCTAAATGACTCACGGAAAGACATTTCCTCGAGCGTATTCCCCCCACGGGGAAGAAGGCAAGACCGCACAGAAGATGTGTGGTTTGCGGAAAAAAGGGCCAAATGAAAGATACACAGTATTGGTGTGGTGAATGTGAGACAGCGTTGTGTTTAGAAGAATGCTTCAAGGCGTACCATACACTGTCAAATTCTAAACCACCTGCTTCCATTGCCGAGATACCGGGCGCTCATATTATAAGGTAAGGTTATAAAACCATCTTTTAAGATCATTTCAGTGAAAGTTTCATGCTTCAAGGCGTACCATACACTGCTCAAATTCTAAACCACCTGCTTCCATTGCTGAGATACCGGGTGCTCATATTATAAGGTAAGGTTATAAAACCATCTTTTAAGATCATTTTAGTGAAAGTTTCATGTTCCTATCTCATATAATTTAAGAACAATGATGAATAAATCATTTTCGAGCAAAATTTAAATGGCCGGCTGAATATATTACCGCCAGAGAGACATGGCAGTGGAATTTAAATGACCGCGCAAAAGGGTTAAATATGAAATTAATTTTAAGCCATAAATAAGAAAGAACCTCTAAGAGTAAAACACATGTTTCAACAAAAGCTTACAATGTGGAAGTACAATGCCACAGTTGCTACAAGCCAAGTAAAATAATCATCACTTCATACCGTAGCAGTGCCGTTAGCTACAACTGGTGTCTTTGGAGTAGGTGTGGTTTTCCAGCTAGAGTACTGCCAGTGCTTGAATGGGTTTGCTGCCACCTTTGACAAACGAGTCAGCAGACTATCTCCTAGAAAAATGTTATTACATTTATATAATACATCACAGAAGTATCTTTCCTTTGCCTTAGTTTCTCTTAAAATAAACTGCAATAAAACAACAGAATTTCGTGAACTATATATAGATTAACTATGAGCTATTTCATATGTCGTGCTGTATATCAAACTCAAACTCATGCACTTCAAGAAACAAACACAAAATTATTCTTACCATTAAATTCAGGCTCTAAAAATGAAATGGATGACATCGTACATAATTTCACATGCTACATCATTTAGAAAGGTGTACCCAATAATCTGACTGATACAGCACTATCATAACATGTGCTAAAGCTTCAACTATCAGACCCTACTGACTGCTGCCTGTTCTGCATACCTAGTGTCAATTTCTCTGATTACAGTTAATTGTAAGCATGTATCCTTGACCTATAAATAAAACTGAAGACACAACACAGCCATACCAGCCATTTCAAAAACATTAGTTTAAGTATGTAAAAAACATTTTACTCACCTGTTTCCAGCTTAGTCTGTTCAGCCATGTGAGCAATGATATTGTCAAATGTCTGAGATGCAACAGGTCCCCACCTCTCTCTCCACACCAGTTCATCCAAAAACTGCTGAATGATTTGTCTACTCAGAAGAGAGAGTGTGTTCTGAAATACACAATATACACAACATTTCTGAACTGCATGTTATTCCAGGTATGTATCATACTGGAATGAATCTGACAATGTGCTTGAACTTCAGACAATCCTTAAAAATGAGGAATTGATACACATATCAAAGAGTTGTTTGAAAAAAAAGATTCCACTGCACATTGCACACTTGCTGATGTGAGTATTAAGTCTGTATCATTCTTCTCTACTCTGCCACTGATCAGTATAGCACATCACTCAAACAGTTTTCCATTCAGTTTCATAGAATAAATTCTCATACTGTCTAAAACATTTCAGAGTTTAAGTTACATCACAAGATAATACTGGGGATCCTTGACTGGACTTAGGGAAGCAAATGAGAGAGCCACACATATCCTGTGTGAATGTGAGACCCTAGCTTAATTAAGATTATGTCACTTGGGTCAATACTTTATGGAACCAAGTGACTATTTTGACATCCCCATGTACAAAATCCTGTGCTTCATTTGAAGCGCAGGATTGCTGAGGGGATAATCAAAAGGGAAAGCCCAAAAGATAACTGTAAGTCGCGGTGCAAGGGCCGAGAAGGCCCACACCTTATACATTCATTCATTCATACATCATCAGATAACGACACAAATCACTACCTAATTAGAAAGTTACTAGATTCCATTCTCAACATATATAAGGAGCCAAAACTGCCATACCAGAGATCTTGATGAACATACAGCACTTTTCTTCTGCATGGTTGCTTACTCAAGACATGACATAACCTCAAAGATGCTTTATACTATACCAATGTTTCATGTTCAATCAAAGTTCCAGACCTGAAGCATCAAAATGAAAAATAATCTTCTGACAGCCTCTGCTGCTGCATTACCTAACATAATACAAATTGCAGAATTCTGCTAACAACTTAAAACACTGACTACTGCTGGGCACTTAAATTACGTAGAAATCTGAACTTATGTTTTCTTTTCAGATGTCAAAACAGGCAAAATTCTAACATGAGAAAAAGAGTTTAACATTCTCTAAGAGAAACAGAATGTTACTATGAAAGAGACATTTCCTGCTTATACAGGAAATATTTGTATATAATTTACATCCCTCCACTATTTTAGCATAAAATGTACAACCTGTTTCCATTAACTATAGTCACATTATATTGCTGAAAACAGTTCCTACAGTGCTACTGTTTCAAACGATTTACATTGCTGTAAACTTCACAACAGAAAGAACAGTGTACAGGATGATATTTGGTCCTAAAAGGAGTAATTACTGGCACCTGAAACAAGTTTGAGAACCGTGGGAAAACATGTTCTATGTGTGCAGAAGTCACACCATGGAACCATGGAAATATTCTGAAGAGAACAGAAAGATATGTCAGGTATAAACACTAACTTTTAGCCTTGAAACTCTTCTGCTCACCTTACATGGACATACACAGGTTGAAGGGAGCAAGAAATACCTGCTAAATGGTAAAATGTAAACAAAATCCAGCCATACAATGTTTTGACTGCGCTTTATACACACACAAACAGGATGTGTCTCAACAAATTTTATACTCACAGCAGCCAAGGATAAAAAGGTCTACTTCAAAATTATGTGAAAAGTCCAAAGCCAACCATTCCAGGCTTTTCCACAGCTTCTCACCGCTAAGAAGAGAGCATAACACACCTGAAACATGCGTGGCACAATGCGCCGCAGGTACTCCATAACATTTTGATTGCTGTACTTGTTTTGTGGGGTTGGTGCATCGCTGATTGACACTTGGTACACAGAGTTAAAACCCATATTGTGCAGGGTACCCTTGTCCACAGTGAAGTCTGTCAGGATGATGCTGTCCTTGTCAACCCACTGTTCTAATGGTTCCAAGATCTTCACAAATCGTCGCTTATAGTTGCGTTCCCCCTCCTGCTTCCAAGGGACAAATACAAGAAATTCTGTCAGCATCTGCATACACATCACATTTATTGTAATCTAAAGGCTGTTGTGATCATAAAACTAAAATAAACATTTACATATAAATAAGATCTCACTGTACAGCCCAGTTCCTTTTTGATATGCTAAAATTTTTACTCTCTTTCATTATACCTTCCAAAACTAGTATACAAATCTGATTTTTGTGTTACATACAGTCCTGCGAAATGCAGCACAAATCAAGGACTATTTCTCACACACTTAATGTTGAAAACAGGGCTTACATTTCTTTGTGAATGGTTACTTTTTTTATTATAATTCACTTTGGCTACTTCAAAAGTGAAACAATATGCTAAAACAGGAACCATATCAATACCACCAGTATTCACCAGAAATCCTTCTGAAGATCACGTAATGGGCTTACATGAACGCTGAAAATGGTCAATACAAGTAATATGAAGGCTTGAAGGGGGAAGGCTTTCAACAGAGGCTTTCTCTGATTCAATGTCAACAAGACTGAAAAGAGTGTACTCTATGATACGCTATACAGAAATCCCAAAGGCATTATTTTAATCTGACTTGCAATCTGTGAACTGCATACCAAATGAAAGCCCCAGTTAAAAGTTTTTAAATTATTATGAGCTCCATTCAGGGTTTGGTCTGTACCTAGTGGCCACGACATCATATATAACAGTAATAAAGAGCTTTAAACAGGCATAACCCTTTATCAGATAGGACCACACATGTGCTGATAATTATCTTAAAGAGAACATCAAGATGTTACCTGGAGTGGCTCCACAGCTCGGAGTCTAATAAGTTTACTCTCTGGATCCATAACGCCAAGCACCTCCACTTTCACTTGGCGCATGTTCCCATCTTGTGATGTGGTTCCCAGGCTAATCACTCCTACCTGGTACAATTAAACACAAACTACAATAGTATATCCAAGTAAACAGTAAAAATCAAGTCAACATGTTATCACTACATGTACCCTCTATGCTTAACTTCCTGTTTCATATTGTCACGTGGTTGGGGTTCCATAACTAATGACAATGGCTTCTGGATTGGATGACTGAACTTATTAATGCCTTCTATTACAATCACTCTTAACCTTTAACGTCAGAATGTCACATATATATGTCGCAAGCAGCAACCAGAGTTGGCCGAATGGCACGTATATATGGTGCAGGACACATGCACTCTTTGGGAGTGCTGACAGTTTGACCTTGGGTTTGAAACCAAAACAAACCTACGTGAGGTCATGTCAGTGGTTCATTCCTTAGCTCTGAACAAAGAAATCGTTTACCACGGTACTGGTTTCGATACTATTTACGTTTAGATATGACTGTTTATGACCTGGTCAGCCAAATATAGCCCAGCTTTGTGCTTGCATATGAGTGCTTCCAAGCCTTCAAGGAAGTCTGACGCATTCAAGGATTGGTTTGCAGTGGCGAATTATCAGTCAGGAAGTCAGTGTCAGACTCTCATTTTTATTTTGCGGCTTGGAAGAGGTATAAACCCACTGAGCCAGTGTTACTTTGTGAGTAAAAGGCATCTTCGCCACTGCGACTTTCAGTATGTCGAACTGGCACTCTTTTCGAGTAGTATTATAATTACTTTGCATCACTATTTTGCTAGTATTACCAACAGGTGAGAGTGTCGCTTTGTCAATCAACATAATTTATTCGATTTTGCTAGAAACCCCCCTCCCCCCAAGATGATTCTTCAATAGCACAAGCAGAATATCACGGTCAGTGGCGTTTCTCGGGGGAAGGCCAAATTTGTCAGGGGGCCCAACTGAGTTGAGTGGAGTTGAAAAAGTCACAACACTGGCCAACCAAAGGGAAACAAAGCTGTTGTTGTGTGTTTTGCTAAATAAGAAAAGCAGGAACACCCTCTTCTATTGCAAAAAGTGTGATTTTGCTGTGTGAAGTGGACTGCTTTGAGAAGTGCCACGTGTGTCGGTGTGATTATCACTGTGAAGTGACTGAACTGACGCAGTTCAAACTCGCGTACAGTAATATTATTGTATATATAGTGATTATATTTACAATATCACCAAGTCTCAAAGCTGAATATCATGGTCAGTGGCGTTTCTTGGGGGAGGCCAAGGTTACCTGGGGCTCAACTGAGTCGACTGGAGGTGAAACATTCACAACCCTGGCCAACCAAAAGGAAACAAAGACATGTCTGTTCTCAGAATAAGAAGCGCAAAAGCATGCTCTACTACTGTAAAAAGTGTGATGTTGCGCTATGCGTGTTGGGCTGCTTCGAGACATGACACGCGCGTCAGGGTGTGAGTTATCGTAAACTGTGAAGTGACGCAGTTCAAACTCACGTACAGTCTGAACAAAATATTATTGTATATACTGTGATTATATTTACAATATCAGCATGATTCAAGGCTGAAGAAAAAACAACAGGTAAGTCCTATGGAATTTCATAACACATATAATAAAGATTATATTTTGCAATTCATGACAAAATAATCACAGTTAATTTTCGTTTGTAAAAATTGCTCTTTTGTGTACATGTAGAGAAATTTATTGTCTTTCAGGTTGTTTTTAGTTTTTATTTCTATGTTGCAAAAAAGGAAAATATGGATTTTTTCTGACGGTTTGCAAATTTAATGAATTAGGGTGATTTAAATATCGGCCACAGAGGGCTCCCGGCAATTTAAAAGTCCATACATTAAAGGTTAATTACAATTTTTACAACAGCTCACAATCAATGACTGCCCAAGACTTTCTCCATTCCTTACTGGACTATGAGCGTCTTCTCTTCTACTGTGATGGACTTGGTTCTGATTTACAAATCAGTCACTTCTTCAGCTTCTGTTGTCCGCTGGTTAACACTGCACAGCAGAATACTCAACTCAACTAACTACTGAACTCTCTTACAAATCACTAAGGATAAATGAAGAAAGAATGAATCAATTATGTGTCCCCCTCTCTTTATAATTTCAGGGAGGACCAAATATAAGTTATAACACCAAACAGGGTCCTCTATTATTCTGTTTATCCACTGCTATAGAAATATGTGTTATTCTTGTAGCAGCAGTCTGGTCTTCACGAGTTTATAACTTTCAGTTTTCCTAACCATGGAAAACGTGTTCTGTAACCAGTCGGTTTCCAAGGATTGATCTCTGTGCGACAACATATTCACCAATTTGTTTCCTAGAAATGCTTACATGTCACATTATAAAACTTAATTGTATAAAGGTTTGGGAAAATCGTTGATCCATTACAAGAATATTATGTTTAACAATTAATTTAATTAATTTGCTTAGTGGGGGTTGGAGTCCAACTGGACCCACTCGGCATGGCAGGCACTGATTGGCCTATTGCAGCCAGCCCTGGATGATTATGATGATGGAGAATTTGGTGGAATGAAGACTGGCAGGAGAAACCAAAGTACTCGGAGAAAACCCGCCCCAGCGCCACTTTGTCCACCACAAATCCCACTTGACCAGACCCAGGATTGAACCCAGGTCGCCACAGTGGGAAGCCTGTGAATAACTGCTTGAGCCATGGTGTGGCCTTATGTTTAACAATGTCAACTATCTAAAGTACATGATGTACTAGATATTTCAAGGGCTGGCTAGACTGAGCATGTGGGTTCCAAAGTTAGACGTGTTTTAGTAGGTTACAGGGTGTATTCCTACAATCAACATAAAAAGAAATTTCATTTATTGCCCTTTCAAAAGACTGTATGTTTTAGATATAATTATATCACCATCAGACCCTAATTACTGAAAGCACAAATGCACACTCTCCCCTTACACAAGGCATATTACAAATGTATATTAAAATTCACGTTTTATCATCAAAGCTATAAAACTAAGTCATCCTAAATGGATGCATTTTGTGATAATGTGAGATAACAATTCAGCATTATTACTCACCTCTACTCTCTTTTTGAGTCCACCCATCTTCTCATATTTCTCATGAATGGCTGCAGTGCAAACGCTGCGCATGTTTGTGAAAAAGTTCTTCACATAAAAGTTGTCTACTTTCACCCACTGTACCACATTCTGAACATTAGTTTGGCATGCCCAGTGATAGATAAGTTTCAGAAGTACCGTTGGTGGGTGCGGTGCTCCCTCAAAGATAGACCCACTGAATACCTACAAAAGAGACAGTTTAACTTCTTTTCATCAACAAGTTAAAAGTAATCCATAATCAACAGTTTTTACTTCTAATTATGGTCTTCTGATGTCACTTCCTCTGACTACCCAGTTCTGAGTAGGAGCAACACATAATGGTGAATTCCATTTACTTCTGATCATGATGAGGATGAAAGCCAGCACAAGTCTACAGTCTGACATAGGCTCCACACCTTGGATAGGGCCTGGTATTACTACATGCATTAATTTTTCATTTTGTCAGAAGTCAGCACTCAATATGGTGTGTCTGTAACTTCTACACAGGAGGCAGTTTAATATAAGCCTAAAAGCTTGGATAAGGCCTACTATTACCCATATACATTAATTCTGGCTTCTTCAGGGTCTGTATTTGATATGGCTGGTCTATAATTTATACACAGGAGAATTTGCCTCTAGATCACCAGGTGGCCCAAGGATCTCATTCACACAAGTTGCAAAGAATCATTACCACTGACCGAGGAAGAGGCAAACACTGACCGATACAAATCGTTGAGGGCAGCACTCGCTGATCCAGACATAGCCCCCACTGTAAGGGAACTTGCTAACATCTGAATACATGCCGAGTTTCAGTTTGATGGGTGTTGTGTTGTCAGGCATGACATGCGTGGTGCAGTACTGCTCACTTCGCACTAGACCTTGCTGTATCAGCCATTCAGTAAATTTCGTAGGGGTGAACATCAGCACACTCTTCACTTTTGCATCTGAAACACAAAACACTTATTCAAGGTCTGAATGGTTGAAAAGAAAAAAAAAAATCAAGGAAATAACAGATTATACATAAACTCACATTAATACCACAATTGAGCATACCTTTGCATATTACCATAAATATAAAGACAGTCAAAATTAAAATATTCTATTTCTATGAATGTTCCAGTTTCAGAATAAGACTGATTTGCAGCATTCCTTGCTGTAGTGTGCAGGCACAGAGAATAAGGTCCACAGTCTGCTACAAGCATGCAGTGTGTTTCTTTTGTTACATAACCTTGGAATTATTTCATTTGAAGAATAAAATTTAACAATCGTCCTTTTTACCTCTTTGACTACAGATGGTCAGAAATACTGCCGAGGTGCTACATATGATAAGACCCAAAGACTACCACACAGTACTAAATACCATACTGAAATCAACCGGGATTCCAAATTAGGATAAATGTCAAGTTATCCAGTTGTTAATGCATGTTAATTAGGATCTGTGACAATACTAGAAACGAGGCAAACCAAGGCTTATCATAATACAAAGAGCATCCGGATGGGCAACAATGACCCAATCAAAAGACTTCAGGTAGTTCAGTAGTTTAGACAAGAATGTGTTACTGATAAGCATTCTGGAAACCAGTAAATGAGCTGGAAAGATGAATATGTACATCAACTGCATGATGCAGTGCAAAATCATAGCAGACTATCCATTTATGGAAGAGACTAATAGGTGGAAATTATTTTCTTCAATTATGAGTGGTCTGCAGTATGAACATGCTCCATGAAGTCAGACTATTAAACAACATTTCTATTTACAAGTGCTGAGAAGTCTCGAAGATGTAGTCCACTACAAATGGTTCCATACTGGGTATCTAGCAAATGGAAAATTTAACCACGTGTAGTTTGTGCAGCAATTCTTACACAAACACAGCAAGGAAGACCATCCTGGGCAACCTGCACTGCTGCAAGTGGTATCCCAATGTTAAGACCTCACATAAACAAATTTTCCTAATAGTGTGTTATCTTATTAACTATTTGGCCATCAAAATATATAACCTAACAAAGTAAATCTTTCAACCCACATATAAAGCCAGAAAATATTATGATTACCACTTACCCTTGTGAGATTTGAGGTTTTCATATTGATGAAGGTTTAGATTGGAGTATTTTAGGTTGTGACACTGTATAGTGTCATAGGTGGTTACCAGTATTTCTGAGGAACTTGCTGCCTCCTTCTTCAAGGCTAAAGTGGAAGATGGAGGCAGCAGGTTCCTCCAAAATGCAACTCCTCACAAAACTGCACAGTCTCACAACCTGGAAGACCACAATCTAAGCCAGTGGTTCTCAACTTTTGTCAGACTGTGGGCTGGTAAATTCTTTTTTCTATGACAAGGGGGCGGTATAATTGATGCCAGGGCCCGGTACCGAGCCACAGCCTGGCGGTTGAGAGACACTGATCTAAGCTATTATCAAGACAATCTCTACCTGTTCCTTCCCTTTCATTAACATACTACGTATATCATACAAATCCTCAAGCAGCAGAACTTGAGCTAGTCACCAAGCTGTTTATGCCAGGTTATTTCAATCCTGCTGTAATTGACTTGCAATTCATATTAAGCACTGAGAAAATGATGCATATATTTGAAACTATTTTGTGATAAATCATTCTAGAATAAAATCTATGAAAAGTTACAGTTAATCACTTGATAGCTAAAATTGTTCCAAATACATGCGATGACATAAAATGTTACTTACGTTACTCTAAAAATACAGTATTTCTGCATAAGGGTTTCCTACAGTTCATGAAGAATTTCTGTTCCATGTAATGAACTCTGTATGGTAAGTATGAAAATATGAATATGAGCGCATTCTGACATTGCATTTGGAGCGGTAGTTTCATTTTCTGTTAAACACAAAAACTACTTAAATGCCTTGTAGCTGGCAAATTCTCACTGTGCTGGGATTCCAAGCAGAACACTTTTCTAGATAGAGCCAGTCAAGAGGGGATCTGGGGGGAAAAGCTCCCTTCTACTCACAACCACAAGGTCTTGTACCAAAATCAGATGGAATTTTCTGTTTGCAGTTTGTTACAACAAACAACATAAACATTTTAACTATTCAGTATGAAGAAACTGTGCACATGAAGTTTATGACAGACCCTTCCACTCTTCAATACCGACCTTTCAGAAGGTGAGAGGTCAATGCTGATTGTGCCACAAGGATTGTGAAATGGTGAGATTTAAACCAACATGCCAGCCAGCCTTCACTGTTGGTACAGTATGCTCTTTCACAACGTCCAAAATTTAACAAAGGACGATAACAAGCAGGTTGGTGTGGCAGTAATGCTCCAGTCTTGTGTTCATGAGGTGTTCAAACTAAATCACATCTCACACAATGGCTACACTGCCAGAGGTTTTCATAGTTTTCCTCAGTCCTTAAGAGCATATTCCAGGATAGTACCTTGATCAGATCATAAG